AATCTAATAACAAACTATAACAACCTAGGCATGATAAAAATGAACTTAGAAAACCCGAAGGACTTAAACATAACCCATAAACTAAAACTCAAAACGCTGGGTCAAAAGACCCAGGATCGTGACACCTACAGAACTAAATACACCCAGGTCAATATTTAAACACTTCAATGACTTACTCTTGATATTAAGGGTGCAGAAAAGCAGTTCTGCAACTGGTAGCTCTGAGGATTTGTTAGCTTAACAACCTTCTGCTCCCAAACTGTTCCCACTTGCTTTGATTTGAACTTTTCCCGGGTTGTGGAGCGTAGGGTGACCATATTTTGATTTCCAATGAAGAGGACACTTGGCCCAGTCATGAAGAACTTTAATAATATGCTTTTACAAGTCAAAAAGGGCAAAAAATAACTTAAAAACCTCTGGAATTAAATAATGGTACAGAAATAAGGCCTCATATAAGAAAACTTATCAGTACCAGGACAGTACGAGGGAAATAACTTTTGCAGTCGTCTGAAAAGCTGCAGTTGCACTTTGGCATCTTTTTAAAATCACCAGGCTGCTGCGCACTGTCTGTCTGTGAGCGCAGAACAACTCACAAAGCTGCAGCTCGGGCATGACGTCACACATGTGGGTCCTCTGTAGGACACCCGGACATTTTCATCAATCTCGAACATCCTCCCAGACATCCTCCCAGAACGTGAAAAGAGGACGGTTGGTCACCCTAGTGGAGCATGTGCAGTAGTTAGCAAGGAAGGAGTTGCAGTTTTGAAGTAAATACTTCTGATGCTTGTGCTGTTGTCAGTCAGCAAGCTGTCGAGAAGAGTGAAGTACAAAGAGCCGAACGGAAACTGAATGAGTGCACTGCAGCCACTGTCTATGGTTTTCATGCTGTATTTATTATTATTTATTTAAGCAAATACAAGTAATCTGCAATAAATTACAGGTAGTAATGAAATAAACTACTAACTCTTTTACGTACACATCTACACGGGTATTTTTGAACACGCAGCTGTTTCGTCCACGTAAACAGTGTTTCGAATCACCGAGAACTGAGTTCGTCACGCAATGTCAGAGGTATGCGCCTTTTTCCACGTCACGCTGTGGCCACGTTATTGTTTACATGGGATGAATTGCAGAATAGCAGATAGAGACAAAATACTGTTAATCTGACTGTCTGCAGGTTTACACGCAGTTACTGTCCCTCCATTTACAAAGGCAGAGGCGTCACGGTGGGATTATTTTACGTGTAGTTGTTTTTTTTTGTGTAATAATATTCAACATTGCTATCAAATCAAAAAAATCCTCTCTGTGCAAAATGGGTTTAAACACATAAACAGCTGTTGGATCCTGTTTGTCTGTGATTTGAAGAGCCCAGCGCTGCTCCTGACGCAGGGGAAACCAGTCCTGCAGGGAGACCTACCTCAGCACCTGCGCAGGTGAAGCCAAAGGGAAGATTTGCTTCACCAGATTTTCTTTGGCTTAGAATGAAGTTGGTTTGGAAACATATTCAGCGACGCTTCATCTCCTGCTTTGCGCTTCTGTCGACGCCGTTTGTTTTTTTTCCTCCCTTTTCACACCGCGCCCCCCCTGCCATGGCTCTGCACCCCCCCACCCCCAGGGGGCGGGGAAGGTCTGATTTAGCAGATGTTAGCCAGTCCTCAGCTAACAACTGTTAGCAGGTTTAATTCACCTGACAGATCGCTGCTTTCCACTATCACAGTAGAACTCGTTTCACAAGCTGGGATAGCAGTGCTTTTGTTGTTTTTTGTATAAAACGTCGAGTTAGCACATTAGTTTTGCTGTAGTTATTTTGCCATTATTATTCTCATTGTACAACTGTATAGTGACATTAAAGGCATTCTAGTCTATTCAATATCTAACTGATTGCTTTGTTTAATACATTCCTGTTTTCCCTCCTGTGACTGGTTAATACCACTAAATAACTGAAGCATTTGAAATTCTGTGTGTTACAGTTGAAATATAAGCAGAATTTGACTAAAGGTCAAAGGTCACTCTTTTGAGGATGCCAATGTTCACATTTTGGACAGAGAAGACAGACGGTGTGAAAGAAGCATCTGTGTCCACTGTGAACAGACATCTTATTCTGCTGGGTGTGGTGGGAGGGTTAGCTTACTGCACGGTGTCCTGCAGGTTTTAGACATGTCCTTGATCCAACACAGCTGATTTAAGTGGCTAAATGACCTCCTCAACATGTCCTGAAGTTCTCCAGAGGCCTGGTAATAAACTCATCATGTGATTCAGGAGTGCTGACCCAAGGTGAGATCTAAAACCTGCAGGACACCGGCCCTCGAGGCCTGGAGTTGGACACCCCTGACTATTAAACCCAAGTAAGCAAGTGTCACAGTCATGCAGACTTAGTGTTAGTGTGGAAGACCCAAATGTAGACATGCCAGGGTGTGTCCAACAAAAAATGAGCTGTTTAAGATGCTGAGAAAACGAGAAGTGAAATCTAAACAAACACACACGTGTGTATTTATATCCTTGTGGGGACGCCTAATTGACACAATGCTTTCCCTAGCCGCTTACCCTAACCCTCACACACACACACACACACTCACACACACACACACACACACACACACACACACACACACACACACACACACACACACACACACACACAAAACACCAACCAAACCACAAATCGAATTTCAAAATGATGACTAAAAAACCCCCAAAACCTACAAAACACTGGGTCAAATGAGGTTTGATGGTAAAGCAGATCATAGCAGATTGTATAAACAGGAGCGTAAAGCTCTGAGAGAACATGAACTAACTCCTGAACACAACTGGGAACCACTGCAGAATTAAGTAACACAAATAATAACATTAAAAATATGATAAACAATGCCAATGAAAATCAAAGCATTTACACCGTAGGCATCTCTAGCTGTTCTATTGAGCAAATAACTTTCAGTTTGCTGATAGTTTGTAGATAAAAAACCCAAACAGATCTAAAGAACTCTTTCACATGAGTGTGAAAGCAGCAGAGCATTTTACGTACCTGAGACTCAGCTCGGAGATTAAGCAGAACATCTTCTCTCACAGCCTGAGGTACACTAATGCTTTTCCCACACGGGAACCTGTGCAGCTCCTTCTCACACTGGATCTCAGAGTTCCTATCTCTGCACACGTGTTTGTTGTAAATGCTCACATTGGTACCTGTCATGGCGCACTCGTAGTAGTTTCCATTGAGTAAAGCTACAGCTATCCAAGTAGAAGGCGCAACAAGCGCAAAGGTGCCGATCTGACAGAGGACCACACCAGCGGCAACCAGCTTCTTGCAGCACAAAAGCTTTTCCGAACGCCGGCACAGACCCGTCAGCAGCTTCCACGTTTTCTTACTGAGGATGTAACCCAGCAGCAGCAGAGCCAGAGCTGGCACCAGCAGGAACACTATCCCATAGACAAAGTTCAGCTCGTTGCAGGGACACTTAAATACCACTGCAGAGAATATCTGCTCTCCTCCTGCTGTCAACAGAGCTATCAGGCCAAAACCAAGGTTGGTCTGTTTGCCTGCAATGTTCAGAACAGTCTTAAACTTGTCCATCTTCAACTGCTGCGTAAATAAGCGACTGCTGAGAAAAAACGTCTGTTTCACTTCCAGCTTCAACGTTAGCTGCACCGCTGAGTCCTCTACCACTTCCTCTTTGAAAAATAGCACACGAGATGACAGTGACTGCTCTTCCTGCATTATAGGGCCCCTTGTTTACACCTGCATAAAGATAAGATAAGATGACCTTTATTAGTTTCACAGGTGGGAAATTTGTTTTGTTACAGCAAAAGTGCAAAATTATGTAGCAGAAATTAGAAAACACTGGAGCAGATTTCACCAAATAAAGTGAAAACAAAGCAGGCTCTGTAAGATCCGGCACTGTTGTAACAGGACATAAAAGTCAAACGTTACTTTTGGTTAAAAGGAAATCCCAGTCAGCATATGAGAGTCTACTAAACAGCAATTCCATTTCCACCTTTGCAGAAAGTAATAAAGAACAAGTTGAATTATACTTTTTATTGAGGAAAGTACAAAGGGAATGTATCACATTTCCAAAAATCTGATTTGTTGATTAATTTACTTAATATATGTTCTTTTTGAATTTGCTATTTTAATCCAAACTTGAGAGAGAGAGAGCCCTGCGGCCGCCTGTCCAAGGTTTACCCCGCCTCTCGCCCTGAGTCCCCTTTGACCCCTTTGGATGGAATCCAAAGTTTTTCATTTTAATCCTGAATCCAAATCCAAATCCATAGATGAAACCAGGACAGAATGGACATGAAGGGAAACTGACATCAGCAAAAGAAGAAGTAAAAGACTAACAAACTAGGCCCGGTGAGTGAATCTTTGAAGTTCAGGAACCTCAATTTTCCTGACAGCAATGGGAGGAAGAGAGGAAGGGGTGATGGTTTTACAAAATCCAAAGGAAAACAGGAGAAATGAGAAGCACAGGAAGAAACAGGAGGGAGGAGACGGTTCTATCTCGACTCACTGGTTTGAATAGCATCTTGTTTATGCTGAAAGAAGACAATTGATCAATAACTTGGTGATATGAAACTGGACTTGGTGTATGGTGAACTTTATCAGGCTATATTTTGTTTTTTAAGGCAGACTCATTTGTTTGGGACGATTTGAGTGTTTTTTAACGCTTCAGTTCACACTCCACACCAGAGGGCGGCGGTATTTCACTGTTTTGCTGTTTGCCAACCGCCAACAAGGGAAGGAAGAAGAAGATTTTCCTGACACGCGGATATCGACAGGGGGCGGTACTGCCTTATCATGCGACGTTTGAGGCTATCGCCAAACAGTAAAGAAGAAACAGTGCCGTGATAATTGGATAGATTTCTGCTAGGCTAACCTCTGTGTTTGAAAAGTTTCCACATTTATTCGTTATACTGGTGTTGTTTTAGTTTATCGCAGTAACCCGGTCTGGTCTACTTTTAATTTTCTCTTAAGAAACCCTCAGAAATGGCAGAAAATACAGGTGAGTGTGAAGATTACCCAAGTAGCTTGCTGTGGTTGACAAGAGCTAGCTTTAACCCATTAAGCAGACCCATTTGTCTCTCATGAAAAGCCGCCCATGTATTTCACTGGGATTTACTCATGTCTTGGTCTTTCAGTCTTTATTTATTGGTGTGTTCTGGATCCTCGGGATCCCAATGACTTCTCTCGGTTAACTTAGACGGTTTGTGTGCTGCAGCAGGCGCTTTTCCCTCTCTGCCTTCGTTTGGGCTAAACTAAGATGAATCAACGGAATTTTAGTCCTCGCTCGTTTACAACGTGAGCTTTATGGTACATTTAATCCAGCCAATAGTAAAACCTCGGTAGTAAAACCGTAAGCCCTCGAGCCCTTTCAAAAACAGTCAGCCGCTAACAGCTAGCAGCTAATGCAGCACCAGATTAGAACGAGTAGCCCTTTATTATCGATGTACGCGTACGACGTTGTCCACGCCAACTGTGTAGGTATAAAATAGAAATAGTAAGACAGCAGGAATATATACAAAACAAGAGAACGGCGCACATTGGAGAACAGGTTGTAAAGGACTTGGTCTGAGTGTGTGATGAGCGTTACTCAGACCGTGGGTGGGATCGTGTCCGATACCGGTGTTGTGCCAAAAAATTATGTCTGCAAAAAACTGATTGCTCGTATTTAAACTGTTATAAATAACTTGTTGGTCTGTAATATGTGAAACATGTCAGATGTTTCCCTCACGAATGATATCAAGTCAGTTAGAAACAACATTCCTGTAACAAGGTACAAGCCACAATCGGTTTTTAGCGGTGACCTTTTATATTTAAAAAACTCTCGTTAAGATTGAAACTGTCTTTAGTAAGACTAATCTGGCCAAGCGGGAATTGCAACAAATATTACAACAGTTCTGTAAACATATTTTAAGTGGAGGAAAAGGACTGGATAGGTTATAATGCAAGTACAACACACAGTTTAAAGATACTTGAAAAACAGGTAATATTTAAATTTTATATATAAGCCCTTTGTAAACCCCGTTCACTGAGGCGATCACTGTTTGGCACAACACCGGTCCGAAAGGCTCCAGGGACGAAGCTGGTTTTAAGCCAAGGGCAGCGGGGCAAACAGGTGGGGGGCGAGGTGCAAGGGCTGACCTGTGACAGGAGGAGCGGGTGATAACCCTAACCCTGGCCTTGTTTGGTGAATGCTCTGAACAGGTTGGTTTTATATGGATAAATCAGACAATCAAAGAGGCACTATTTATGTAAGCTGGCTTGTTTGTACATTGTTATGCGTATTACACTCAGTGGCACTTTATTAGGTACACCCCCTTAATGGAAGTTCAGCAAATATTTTCTTCACATCATCTGTGTGAGTCCATTTTGCTTAATTTTAACTTTTGCTGCAAAACAGTTTCTAAAAAATGTTTATCATGTAACCAACAAATAAAATATATACTATTTATGGGTATTCACAAATTGGTGTTTCAGCTTATACTTAATATTATTATTTATTTTTAAATCAGAGCAAAATGAGGCAAAGCATGATGGCTCACCGTCGCCGGGGATGACAGACCAGGAGAAGGAGATGGCAGCCAGCGCATATGAAGCATTTACGGTAAATAATCAAACATTTCAACTTAACTCACAGTGTCTTCTGACAATGAATGTGTATATAAAAAAATACTGCAAGTGGTTCTAATTTCTTCTTTAGAGAAGTGAGAGAGATGTGAATATGAACACATTCAGTACTCGGAGCAAAGCAACTGTCACTTTTATGTTGTTTTGCTGTGTTTGTAGAAGTGGTCTATATGAGCGTTTAGCTGAGATCTAGAGGTTCTGTGGACACACGCTGGGACTTATGTTACAGCCCATTCAACAGGATCTGCCCCGTTTTGCCCCCCAGTACCGAGGGTGCTGGGCTCAAGAGTGGAGGCAGTGTCGGAGTATATTATGTTAACTGTTGCACAGCATGAGGGGTCTTCTAGGTATTTTAGATAGTCTTTTTGAGTGCATCATCTATGACGAGTGAGTCACACTAACCAGAGTAAAATGAGCAAACTGCTCGCTCCACAACAGTATCTCTACCTGAAATGGTCTCAGCCCCTAAAATGTGACACCGTCCACATTTATGAGGCAATTCCAGTCTCAGCCAAGTTTTTAGAGGGCCGTGGAAATCCTGAATAAAATGCAAGTGCTCGTAAACTCCTGCTCATCAGTTCACGCTGTATACTCAGGTTTGACCAGCTGCTCTTTTTCTTGTTATTTGTCGTATTTGTGAGAAGAAATCCAAACATTGTGAAACGTTGTTTTTTTCTTCTAGGCTGGGAGATGTGACGAGGCGCTCAGACACCTTGAAGCCCTGCAAGAGCTCACTAAAGAGGACTACAAGATTGCAATGAATAAAGCTGTTGTTGAGTTTTACAAAAGCGGTCAGACGACCACAGGGCTGCTGAAGCAGACCCTGATGTCAATGAAGAACCAGGTAACTAAACCGAGTTCTTTTCATAGGTTTAATCCTTGTTTGCAGTAAACTCAGAGCCTGGCTTACTTTCTGTGTTTCAGGTTCACACGTCAGCAGAAGATGTTGATGGTTTGGATGATGTTGAAAATAGTTTCCTGTACTACAATCAAGCTATCATCCACTATTACATGCGGCAGTTCTCTGATGCGATCTGCATCGGAGAAAAGCTCTACCAGTTTCTGGAACCGTTTGGTATGTCGTGCTAACTTCCATGCATTTAATTGGCAGGGTTGTTGCAAAGCATCAGCTCCAGGATGTGACGTTGTCAGCTGCCGTTTTTCTTCTTTGTAAGGCCGGCTCAGTTGTGCGCTCTTTCTGAAATATCTTACTGACTGTGAATGGAGAGCCAGTCCCCTCTTATGTATGTTTAAGGTGATAAGTTCAAGTGCAGCATGCAACGGTTTTTAGAATGACTTTTATTATTGTCTGTATTGTGTATTACACTGATGGTGACGATACTTTGAATATATGAAATGACAAAAACAACCAGGCAGTACAGAGTAGGGTTTGTGAGACCTTACCTGTAGTTGTATCAGCAGCAGCAGTAATGATGTCACAGTTTTGCTCACACAACAATGAAACAAGTTGGGCTCTTTCCTCGTTTCATCCTGTCAAACAACTGCTTCACTATAGAGACTGTGGTTGAATCAACAATAAGGCTTTAAGCATCAGAGTAAAGATGACCGTAAGAAGTAATGACTTAATGATTTTCTTCACTAATAAAGTTTAAATCATTAGAGAAAAATGACTCAGACGTCTCATAGAGATTAGTAGTTTAGTAGTACTGATAAGTATATAGACTCTCTGATCTGAGTTAACTTCAGTAATCAAAACCATCAACATGTCTGTGAGATCCCATTCCTCCAAGGCTGCTCAGAGAAGTCATTAATCAATGCTTCATGGTCTCTATCAATGAGCTGCGTACCACAGGCCTTTAAAGTGGCAGGAACGTAAAGGTCATCACCTGAACCAGCTATCTGTGCTTATTATAGGACAATCTGCAACCTTCAAGAACTCTCCAAGAAATTCTTGAATTAGTAGTTGTAAAACAGCTAACTGGTGGTCTGCAGAGGAATGCTTTATTTGGAGAGTTTTAGTCAGGCTTCAGAATTCAACAAAGTACAGAAACTACGATAACCTCAGTTTTTATCTAAATTTAAAAGCAGGAAATTTGAGGTGTGTGTGTGATCTTATCTGGCTTCATGGGATAATAATAATAAAGCAGTGAAAATGTATACTATGTCTTTAAATGTTATACATGGAGGCATGTGTAATGTTAATAACTGGTCCTATCATGGAACCCTGTGGGTTTACATGGAAAAATTGGAGTGCATCAGGCAGCTGAATCAGCAGTAAATTTTTCATACCTACTGATCTCTAATATTAAGGACAACTGTAACGCTGCACTGATAGCAGGACAAGAGATGAGTCCAGTGTCAGAGGCCGTATAAAGGCTACTGGCAACCTTCCCAGTACTTGTTCTGTACTTTGGTGACGTGTGAAACCTGATTGAAACAATCAAACCGCTCTTCTGCAGATGACTAGTTGCTGTTTTAGAACTATTTGAGTCGATGATGTTCAAAGACCTTGAAAAGCCTGGAGACCCAACTCAAGACCACGTTAAAAACAAAGTCTGGCCCCTCGGGACCAAAGTACGAAGGAGTTTGGCTTAGGACTTTTTCAGTTTTGTACTGCTAATAATAATAATGGTTATTGTTTTTGTACTTGTAGTTGTTGTTGATGTCTTGTGTTATTTCCCCTAGAAGAAAAGTTTGCACAGTCTGTGTGCTTCCTGTTGGTGGATCTCTACCTGCTCACCTTCCAGCCAGAGAAGGCCCTCCACCTGCTGACTGTGCTGGACAAACTCTCTGTGCAAGGAAGCAACAAGAACGGCAAAGGAGAGGTAGACACAAATACAGTATGTGTGATAAAAACAGGAATGTGCACAACAAAAGCAAACCCATTAGTGTGCACATTCAAGATCGTCTCCTCGAGCAGCACTGCAGACGCCTGCTGCTGCTTATAGAATACTCCCTGATAATCTGTTCTGTGCAAACTCACAGACTTTCATATCAGCGTCTGTTGTAGCCAGAGATTTCACTCCTGAAATCGGAAATGAAATCTCTGGCTGTGCCCACAAATCTTTTTCCAGCTTCCATGGTGTTATGCATCAAGAATGTGTCTCACAGCTCAGACTGTCCATCAGGAGTTTTTCATGTGAAAGGGTCTGAACTGTTGGACGCACAATGCAGTGAAAAAAGTCACTTTTTGAGCTACACAGTTATCGCTCACCACCTTCCATATTTATTTAAGGCATCTAAAAACATATCAGCGCTGAAAGCTTTGCAGCTGCAGCTTAAAAGGTAACTTTGAAGAGTCACAGTTGTGAGATTTCTTACTACAGTGAGCTGAATTCAGTTTGCAGTGGTCACAGTGTTTGAAGAAGAACAGTGTACTCTCTTACAGAAAATGTTTCTATCAAAGCAAATGAATCTTTCAACCACAAATGGAACTAACATCAAAGGGTCGATGAATAGCTGAGCTTTAAATGATTAAACTGCAAGGACCTTAGTCATGAAGCTGTTTCTTAGGTCACCGACTTCACAAGTTTAAGTCTGTGAAATGAAGCTGACTAAGTTCTGTGCTTTATTTCAGAAAGATGGAGGAAACCAGAAGGCCGAGTTAGCAGCTATGATTGAAGCAGCCAAATCAAAAATTCACCAGGTGAGAGCTGGGTTCACCCATGTTTCACTCTTTAACTGCTTCAGCCTTCGTCTGCATGCTCTAACTCAGGGGTCGGCAACCTTTCTGATGATGAGTGCATCTAACATTTCCTCAGAGGTCAGTGTGCCGTATGACTGCATTAGCAATAAATGTAATAACGCTCTATATGAACAGTTACTCACTATATAGAACAACGTTATAGGATTATGTTTGTTCACAGATGTTGGCAGCTGTCAGCGAATAGTTATCAGCTATTTAGAAACAAAACAGACTTTTAATCCATAACAGCAAATGAGCTGTACAACAGAAAATACAAATGCTGTTTATGGCCTCCTCACAACAATGATAAGAGAAATAAACTGGGCCAATATGGCATGTTTGTTAATACAGAGACGCACATGTTACTGTGATCTCTGGTCTCCCACTCAGAGACACGGGTCTCCGAGTGTCCAGCGTTCAGACCTGAGGACTCATGTGACAGAAAACCTGCTCACACAGACATGTGGAGCCAAACACTGTCAATAAGGCCTCTGCAATGTTCTGAAGACAGTTAAACCTGTCAGGTAGTGACGTCCAGCAGGTGAACATGCAGCTCCATGAACACACACAGCTGTGGATTCCAGCTGCTCGTAGTTCTGCAAACTTTGACCCCACAGAGTCGAGCTGTTCAGTTCAATCGGCTGCATTTCGATGTGTCGAGCCAGTTAATGCGAGACAAATCCAGCTGCTCATTAAAGCTTCTGGTTTGATCAGAAAAGAAAACATTGGTCCAAACAGCTGAAAGTCCTGAAAACACATCGTGAATTCTGTCTCGAGTCTACGGATGTATCCGTGTATCTCCGCGGTGCTGATGCTGCGCTGAGCCGACAGCTGCTGAAGCTTTTGAAGTGTCGGAACGTGGAAATTTCAACATCGCTTGAAAAAACTACCAGCTAACAACGTCCCTGTCACCGCTAGGCTAAGTGATTTGTAGCCAGTTACAAGTTGAATCTGGTAGTTGGGGTCGTTAGCTAAGATACCGTCATTAAGAATGTGTCTATGCGAGCTAATTTGCGATGTGCACCGCTGGCCAGCCATTTATTTTTTGATGCACCTTCTCAGATTAATTCACTGCGTGTCGTGCCCAGGGCTGGACTGGGACAAAAAAATCAGCCCGGGCATTTTGACTAGAGACCGGCCCCCCAGGTATTAAAGCCATAAAGCCTTTGAATGAAAACAGACGCTGTTGTGACAGTGATGTACAGTCTTGTTGGTATATGTATGATTTCTATACATTTTACATCAGATAAAAACTTTGGTTGTAAGATTCAGATAATTATTTAATAAAAGCGAGACATTTTAAATGAGAATAAGAAAGAAAAGTATTTCTTTGTGCCCCCCTCTCCCTGTTAATGCCCTACCTGGCCCCCCTGGCAAAACTTTGCTAGACCCGCCCCTGCACAGTTACCAGCTGTCAGCTACCTAAAAAAGGATCCTGGTGTTATTTGTCTCTCAGAAACAGTTCATAACTTCAACTCATCCATGTCACCTAAAAGGTAAACCTGTTTCTCCATCACCTGTTCAGCTCTGATGATTCAGTAAGGACATCTCCTGGTTTCATCTTCATGTTTCCAAACCGACATCATGACCAGCAGTAACGCTTATATTAAATTATATTAAACGCGTAATATTTTCTCTGAATGCGGGACCATTCCATTTTTTACGGGACGGTTGGAAACTCTACTAACTAACCTTATGAATAAAATCAAGTTCACTATCAGTAACATCATAGCACCCACAGCTGTATAGAAACTCCGTCATGCTTGCTAGTACGCAGTACGAGTTATTGCAACTGACTGTAAAAAGTCAGCACAACGAAAATAAACTCCACCTAAACTTGGTTTATATCTGACCCAGATAGACTGCAGGTCATAACTTCTTACCTGAAGTTCAGTTCACACTCGGACCGGCGGCCGCCTCGGGGCTCTCCTCCTGCCTCCCCTTCCCTCATCCACCTGCTGGCCTCTGTGGGAGCTGTGGCACGCGTGCCCAGGGTTGTACCCCTGTTCTAACTGATGTTGTCCTTTCTGCAGTACAAAGTGAGAGCGTACATTCAGATGAAATCCTCCAAGGCCTGTAAAAGGGAGATCAAGTCAGTGATGAACACAGCAGGGAATGTAAGTCTGCTTGTTAGTTCTAATGTAAAGGGGAGAGGATGCAGTATGCCTTATGCGATTGGCATATGATGCAATTTAAAATTTGTCTCAAATATTTCTCTGCGCGCTGCAGTTCATTGGAAATTGACTTTGCTTCCACGCTCTCTTCTCTGTCATCAGTCTGCACCCTCACTGTTCCTCAAGAGTAATTTTGAGTATTTGAGAGGAAACTACCGGAAAGCAGTGAAGTTGCTGAACAGCTCCAATATTGCAGAGCATGCTGGGCCCATCAAGACAGGTAACGGCTGCTCGCAGGATCATTTGGCTTTCTGTTATAATCCTGCTGTTTACTTTGTCGTCCTCAGGTTTTGTTGCCTAATTGCATTTCCAGATGTTGACGTCATTACTGGGGTAACTGGCTTTCATGATTTGCTAATTGCATGCGTGTTGTTTTCATTTAGGTGAATGTGTTCGATGTATGTTCTGGAACAACCTGGGCTGCATTCATTTTGCAATGGGGAAACACAACCTCGGCATTTTCTATTTCAAGAAGGCTCTGCAAGAGAATGACCACACCTGTGCACAGCTGGGAGATGGTAGCAATGGCCAGTGTAAGTGAAGTCAGTTCATGTATCTGTTCTCTTCCACTTATCAGGATCCCGGAGGGCCTGGAGCCTATCACAGCTACCAACAGGGCACGAGGCAGGCTGGACAATGAGTTGACCTAACCCCAAGAAATGCGAAGCCTGAGTACCGCGAGAGTAACCACGCAAACAGAACATGCAAACTGAAGCCTGGAGGTGGAGTCAAACTCCTTACCAACAGTGCTAACCACTCCACCAGTATGCTGCCCCAGTTTACTTATATTCTATGCAATTTTATTTATATGACACAAATTCAGAACCACAGGTGCCTCAAGGCACTTTATAATGTATAGAAGCAGCAAAAACCATAGCAATCAAACGACTTCCTCTGAGTGAGCACTTGGTGACAGTGGGAAGTGAAAAGCTCCCTCTTAGCAGGGACAGACCTCCGGCAGCTATCTGCCATTACCAGCTGGGGCTGATGGCGGAAACTTGGGTAACCAAGTGAAAGATGTACACATTACTGTTTCCCACAGCTGTGTCCATACTCAAAATAAAAAGTATTTAGGTTTGAAGAGAATTTGAAGATTTTCCCATTTATAAACAAAGCGAAGCTAGCATAACAGGAGCAGCTACCGAGTGTTAGTAGTTTGTGTTTAGTGTTACTATGACTATCCTGTTAGTGCTGTTTCTATCCTTTCACGTATACATCAGTTCCTCTGCTGTAAAACCTTCAGATATGTGCACATAGTTGGTATTATGGAGCCAGTGAGACAGTTGTGAAAGCCAGCATTAAGCCTGTGATTATATTAGGTTTTATATTTTAGGAAGGGTGGGGAAACAAGTTTCACTGCTACGTGCTGTCAGCAAAAAGATGAAGCTGCATCTGGCCAGCCTTGTTTGTTGTTGGTTATTTTTATTTATTTATTTTTTGGCTTTTGTTTTAACTTTTGTGAACTGTGTGTTAAATAACAGATTTCATCTGTAATACTTAAAAGCCTGAGAATGTCACGTTTCACCTGGTAGGAAAAACGATAACAAAGAGCACAGCAAACCTCGTCTACCAGCTATTATGGAACAAACTGGTCCAGACTTTGATGGTAAAAGGTCTGAGAAAGCCAATGAAGCTTGCAAAGAAAGCGACTGGACTTCCTTACTTTTTTTTTTCTGTTCTCTACTTTTGTGAACCTCTGCAAATGACAACATCACCAGAATCCTGTCCCGGGACATTGTAGACACCCTGATTGTCATTTACACACATTAATGACCACGTTAACTTCAACCAGAAAATACATTGGATCGTTTCTTCTTTCCACTTTTCTTTGTGTCTTCTTCTTCTGACATAATCCATGTAGCAGAATCAAATAAGACAAACAAATTATTATACCCTGAAAATTAGTTGGCCAACTACATACAGTCTGTCGCACTAAACTGAGGGTTTCACAGAACCAGAAACTATTACTCTACCAAATCTGTCCACCCAGTTTTTCCAGAAAAACTTACATTTGCCCAACTCTAGTCTGCCAGTGAAGGTCACCATTCCCATCATAAACATTATGCATCACTTCAGTCCAAACTTCCTGCTTACGGGCCTCTGTCTTCAGCCAATCCCTAGTAATGGCTTTTTTACTAGTGACTAACATGATCCTAAACATATCAACTTTGTACACGTTTGTTCCCATGTAAAGGAAGTTGAATGTAAAAACAGTACTTTTAAAACCTTTCTATGCAATTCTTCAACTCCTGCCAGTACGGAACAATTTAGAGACATTCCCGGAAGACGTGATAACGATTGGCTCCAACTCAAACCTGAATCGATAACCTCCCTGCAGCCGCTTTTTCTCATTTATGTGTGCTTCACTGCTCGCTTTCAAATTTACCAGTGCTATGTACAACTTTAAATGTTTTGGGGGGGCTTTTTCAGCTTTATTTGATAGATTCAGTGAAGAAACGACAGGAAAGTGGGGGCAGAGAGAGAAGTGGGGAAGACATACGGGCCACAATAATTAAAGGACCGTTATTTCTAGATTTTAATTCGGAGAAGTCTGGCGGCAAATTTACTCCCAAGTATATCAGTTTGAATCTGTGCATTATACCCTGAGCCTTGTGAGTGCTTGATATAGTTATCATTTTTTCATTTTAAACCATCCAGTGTCTGTCACCCTGCTGATCTTTGTTGTTACGCCTCAGCTGTAAAGGCTGATGGGTTATTGCCTTCGCCCAGGGAGTTGGGTGGGGGGCGTGGACACGCATGTTCATGAGTGCAATGACTCAAGAACAAGATGATGTAGGGTTTAAAATTCACAGAAGTAATTTGTTTGTTTTTTTATCCCCTTTTGGTTGTTCTGGTCTTGTGTTGGACTTGTTCAGCTTTGACACAATAGAAATGTTTTATATCGGGATGTATTTTGTGTTTTTACACACAGGTGTAAGTTATGTGTTCCTCAGTAACAAAAAGTCCTTTTCTTTTGTTTTCAGCTAAAAAATTCACAGGTATCCCGATGTGCGCTTTACTAGCCAACAAACGCTACGAGCTGTTGTATAACTGCGGTATTCAGCTACTGCATATTGGCAGACCTCTGGCAGCATTTGAATGTCTGATGGAGGCGGTGCAGGTTTACCACTTCAACCCTCGGCTGTGGCTGCGGCTTGCAGAGTGCTGCATCTCTGCTAACAAAGGGGTATGCATGTATGCAGTGAATGTTTTTGAGCATTTCGATGGTGACCTTTCCTTTTTACCTGTTTATTCTTTGTCATTTTTACCCCTCAGCCGTAAAAGGCTAACGGGATGTTGTTGTCACCCTGCTAGGCCGGCAGTAATGGCACCCAAGTTTGTGAATGCAAAAAGTCTTGGACAAGCTTAAATCTCTGACCTTGACTTCAAGGTCAAAGGTCAAGTGTTCTCAAAATCTTGTGAATGTGATAACCCAAGAAGAACAGTTGAAATTCATGCCATAGGTGCATCCATTGAAAACCTTGGACGAGTTCATATCTTGAGAACAAAGTGACGTCAAATTTTCAAATTGATACCGTACGTGTATCTAGTAGGAAGCCAGGAAGCCAAGGGTACCACTGGCTACAGTATGGTTTAATAATACTTCCTGGTTACTGGTTACTGGTCCGCAGCAAAGCCCCCCCCCCACGCCAACCCAATCAATGTTATCATCAAGTATGCTGATGACACCGTGGTTGGGTTCATCTCTGATGGAGATCAGATCAAACTGCTCTCACATGTGCACATATTTTCTCCTTTATTATTTTTGATGCCCACTTGGTGGCTCAAGGATGCATAAGGCCGTCCTCCTGTAATGGTTTTCCTTTCTAACTTATTCTACCATGGACAAAATATTTCAGCCACACTACTTTAGTCAAATGTTTGTTTGTTTTTTGCATCTTTGAATGGATTTATGGGGGTAAAATCTAAAATTATATCATCTTTATTTTCCAATTTCAAGGGCTCAGAGCAGGAAAGCAAAGGTTTGCCTTGTAAAAAAGGTATCGTTCAGTCTGTTGTTGGCCAGGGCTACCATCGCAAGATCATCCTGGCGTCCCAGTCCATGCAGAACACCATGTACAGGTCAGTGCTCACTACCCATAAATCCACACGGAGCCAATAAATTACACACATGACTCCTCGATAACAGAGTTCTGCCAGTTTGGTTTAAACTATCGGGGTCCACAGTATGAAACAGGAAGTGGTTAGCAAAAGCTGTTTTTTGTTTTGTTTTAAAGCATCTCAGCCTGCATACAATGATTACAGAGTAACATACGTTACATCAGTTGCTACATCACTGACACTCTGGTTATTGTGTTTCCACTATCATGTCATGAAATTATCACATTTTACAGGTTGTCCATGTGCACATTTTAACATCCAATTGATATTTAATCTTACTGTAGTTTAATGTGAGGTAGACTGACCTCACAGTGTTTGTCTTTGTATAGTGAGGGCCAATCAGCAGCTATTCCAGTGGCCAGTATGGAGTTTGCAGCTATCTGTCTGAGGAATGCGCTGCTGCTGCTGCCTGAACACCAGCAGCAAGAACTCAAGACAGAGAACAGCTCCAAGAACTCGAGTCAGTCAGGAAGCACCGAGAGTGGCAGCGAGAACAGCGACGCCTGCAGGTCAGACACGTCTGTCCACCCCACCCACCTGTTACAGAAAGACAGTGATGCCTTCTTAACTCGCTGGTTCCAAACTATATTTCTGTTTTTCCATAAAGTGTTCCTGTTTGTTCTGTATTCCCAACACATCTCTCCAGTGATTATGTTCAAAAACTGTACAAAGTCACACAATCTGTGTGTAAATTTGTATTTACTGCTGAATTTAAAATGCACACTCTCTGCTGCATACTGAGGAGGACTACAACTTAGAGTCCTTAATGTCCGTCATAATGTCAAGAAATATACACTCATTAAGTCTGGTACTTTATATAACTATGATGGAAAAACAAAGAATAGATCTTATTAATATCGTACATGATCTTTAAAATGCATTTTCTGGATTTCTTTTTTGCTATGCATAAAGTCATGTAGCATCCGATATTAAGGATCATCAGCTTAGATTCCCAATGCTACCCAGTGCAAAATGATGTATAGAGATGGGAGATGTTTACATAAACTGAGGCTCTAAAACTACTACATTATGGTTCATATCTCTCTGGCAACAAGGTCACAGAAAAAATTACATATTCTCCCAAGATCCACTCAGGCTGTGCTTGCAGCTTCAATGAAATGATGCCACAAAGACGAGCCGCAGCTAACGGCACGCTGTGGATGCCTGGTTACACCCAGACTGGCCTAACGGCAACAACATCCTTACAGTGACGCCTTCAGCTATTGGACCATTACCTTCCTCTGGATGACAAGTTGGATCCACTCAGTCATCATAGAGTCATGAACACAAACTGCAAACACAGCTCGTCATTCTGAACGTCAAAATGGGGTCAAAATATCAGCTGCTGGTCAAGAAGCGTGCACACCAGACAGGGCGGCCTGACCACTGCCTGGGTTGACTGCAAGAAAGCCTATAACTCAGTGCCACACTCGTGCACACGGTGTGTCCAGCCAGCTCACCACAAAGAGCAGACACAGCTGTAGATCCAGGAGTGAAGCTAAACACCAGGAGTCAGTGAAACTGACCAGTTGATCCAACCCACCAGGATCTACAGTGAAGAGATCTGGAAGTCACTCCATTACAGGGAAGAGGATCTGGACTGAAGGGTGTAGTTGCAAGGAGAACTTCATCTCAGAATGTTTTCTGATGCAGGACTGAGAAACGGTGATGGCTGAATTGTGGTGGCCTGTGATTCGGTCACATTAAACTGTCACAGCTGATATGTGCTCTGATGGAGGGTCTGTGTTTCTTTGCAGTGGAAAAGGTCAGGATGCTGATAAATTTTTGTCCGCTGCTCCATCTTCTCCTCTTAGAAAACAGGAGGTAGAAAACCTCAGGTAATGATGCTTTCCGTATTCTCTGCTCATTTACACATCCTGGCGGTTCATGTCATTAGGACCAAAATGCCACTCGTTGATTCTCGCTGTGTGAGCAGGTGCTCCATCCTGGCCTGCAGCAGTTATGTAGCGTTGGCGCTGGGAGACAACCTGATAGCCCTAAACCACGCCGAGAAGCTGCTCCATCAAACTAAGCTGTCCGGATCGCTCAAGTAAGTGGTTACACGAGGCGGGGAGAAGCTTACAGGATCCTTGTGAAGTGATTTTAAAAATCAGAAAGTCTGTAAAAAGGATATAAAGTCTGAGAAAGAAGGACACAGAAAAGAGTCCTGTCATTGTACGATCAGGGTCTTCATGTACTTGAGTGAGTTAACTGTTCTCTGTTTGGACCTTTTCTGTTCAGGTTCCTCGGTCACCTCTATGCTGCCGAAGCCCTCATCTCATTGGACAGGATTTCCGACGCTATCGCTCACCTTAATCCAGAGAACGTCAGTGATGTGTCAGTGGGCATGTTGATGAACGAACAAGACCAGGGTGCGTGGGCTGAAATCATTCCTCGCCTAAACTTTTGCTGCAGGCTTGTTTTCAGTGAATAATTTCCTCTCTGTCAGCAGGGTCCGACAAAGGAGATGAGCCTGTTGAGTCCTGTGAGTTTTAAGCAACGTGTTTGCTTTTGATTCCAAAATCTTATATACAGCATAACATTGCAGCAGGAAAATAACGTGTGTGTGTGTGTGTGTGTGCTCATGTGTTGCAGCAGGGAAGCAGACTCCACTGTGTTATCCCAGCAGTGTGACATCAGCTCGAGCTATGATGCTCTTTAACCTGGGCAGTGCCTATTGTTTAAGGAGTGAGTACGACAAGGCCCGCAAGTGCCTGACTCAGGTAACCATGGCAACTTTATGCAACTCATGTCCAGGACTGGCCAATCAAAATCTAGTTACTCTGGCATTAGACGTGTTACTTCATTGTTGCAGTGGTTCGAAGAAAAGTTTTTATGGGGAGAAAAGAGAAACTAATAAACGTTGAAGAATCTGGGACGATCACATTTCAGTGACGATGTTGATCAAACTGGCTGCTGATTGTTTTTGCTGCATTTTATGCTCCACAAATGTATTAAAGCCTTTTTAAAATTCATTTTGGAAACTGTTACTGTTCAAAAGCATCTGATTCGCCCCGTTTCTTTGATGCTGTAATTATGTGTGTAACCCATCAGGAAGCTTAAAGCAGTGAGCGTCCCGACAGTTCAGTAATAATTTAATTTGTGCTGTCACCATCAGGCTGCGTCGATGATCAACAGCAAGGAGATCCCACCTGAAGCCATCCTGCTGGGAGTGTACCTGGAGCTGCAGAATGGTCAGTGAGCTGCTGCGTCACCAGTTACACCTGTTGTAACGTGTTTTTCGCCTGACGCCCTGTTTTGGTTGGGTTGGTTTGTCACACTCGTATTCCACATATCAAAGCGTCGTATTGGCTTTGCAAACAGTGGAAACGGGCTGAGCTGTTGTGTTTGTGAGGGCATTTTAAACCTGATCCTTGAATGTTATGTTTGGTCCTCAGGAAACACTCAGCTGGCTCTGCAGATCATCAAACGCAACCAGCTGCTGCCTACCACGCAACAGAGAGTCTCCCCGGACTTCCGTAAGAAACCCATTCAGCCGCTCCAGTTGCCCTCATCTTTTACTCAGATCCAGAGGAAATGAGCCACCTCACCCATTCCAGACCACACATCCTGGCCGAACCTTGATATTTATGAAGCTGTATGAACTGAGGAGACTTTTGACACCATCTGCGTTGGTGTCAAATGGCCGAGAGAGCGGCCTCTTTTATTTTCACTGTATGAGGAATTTGTGTGTGAAGAATGAAAATAAATTTTATTTACTGAATCACATGTGGCTCGGTTTATGTTTGCCTGGGAGGATGTGGAAGAGGACGTGTGTGTGTGTGTGTGTTGTGAGTGTGTGGTGTGGGTGGTGTGTGTGTGTGTGTAAAACATTTGGATTGCAAATGACTGCGGAGGTGTAGTTGGTCTTAAATGGTTAGCCTTATCAAATATGTAAGTCTTTCATTTGTGCAACATCTCTAAAGTTAGAAATATCCTGTCTCAGAGTGACGCTGAAAAACTAGTTCATGCATTTATTACTTCCAGGCTGGACGACTGTAATTCATTATTATCAGGAAGTCCTAAAAACTCCCTGAAAAGCCTTCAGCTGATCCAAAATGCTGCAGCAAGAGTCCTGACAGGGACTAGAAAGAGAGAGCAGATTTCTCCTGTTTTGGCTTCCTGTTAAATCCAGAATTCAAAATCCTGCTCCTCACATACAAGGTCTTAAATAATCAGGCCCCATCTTATCTTAATGACCTTGTAGTACCATATCACCCTATTAGAGCACTTCGCTCTCGCTCTGCAGGCCTACTTGTTGTTCCTAGAGTATTTAAAAGTAGAATGGGAGGCAGAGCCTTCAGTTTTCAGGCCCCTCTTCTGTGGAACCAGCTTCCAGTTTGGATTCAGGAGACAGACACTATCTCTACTTTCAAGATTAGGCTTAAAACTTTCCTTTTTGCTAAAGCATATAGTTAGGGCTGGACCAGGTGACCCTGAATCCTCCCTTAGTTATGCTGCAATAGAGTAGGCTGCCGGGGGATTCCCATGATGCATTGAGTTTTTCCTTTCCATTGATCTCAAAACTGGATTATAGATGGCAGACAGTTGGTGTCGTAAGCCCCGCCCTCTGTTCAAAGATGGTCATTCACAGTGGACACAGATGCTTCTTTCACTCCTCTTTCCAATCATCTGTCCTCTCTGTCCAAAATGTGAACATCGGCATCCTTGAAAGAGTGACCTTTGACCTTCAGATGCCGATGAACAGCCGAGTCTTGGAGGTGACTCTTCTGTTGTGCTATGCACTTGTGAAGTGGCTGTTTGGTCCAATGTAGAGTCCGAGCCACACTGTACAGCACATTGTTAAGTTTGTCTTTGAGATGAACCAGTTTGTGTGGCGGTCCTAGCCTGTTCGGCGCCCTGGGCGAAGACTCCCTCTGCATGAATGAATGATGGGCTTGGATTCACAACATTATGGATGAAATGTGCTCTATTTGGAAGCAGCCGGCCCCTCCCCTTTCCACGGGTTGTGTGTGAGACATTAAATCATCAAAATATAAATTATAAATTGTTATTGATCCTTTACCCCGAGTCCTAAAGTGTATATTTATTTTCTTACTCTTCTTATATTTATTGTTTGTTTGCTTGCACTGCTGTAACTGGAGCCTCGTCGTCTCGTCTCTCTGCTGGACTGTATGTAGCGGAGATGACAATAAAGTTTACTTTGACTTCAGCAGCGAGCATGCGCACTGAGGGCTCTCGCGCTCACTTTTCGCGTATAGAATTTCGAAGAAAACCAACAACATCGGTGCAAATTATAAGTCTGCATCATGATGTCTGCTGTTTTCGTGTTTGTTGTTTTGTTTTTATTTTTGCGAGTTGGTCATTAGACGCTGCTCCCTCCAGCCAGAGACTCCCCGCCCGCCCCGCCCTGTACTGCAAGCAGCGGGCGCACCTCGCAAACGGAGGCGCGCTTACTCCCAGCAAACGGGCGACAGAAAACCGATCGGTGCCTGTGCCATTCCTAATGTGCGGTGGCTGATGTCGGGGCAGCACGAGTACGAGCAATTATTTGTTTTATGCCGATGCCCGTGATGCCGCCAGGGGTCTGTAGTATTTTGCACTTCCAGTAGACTGACACTTTGTCATCATCGAGCCGCAGCATCTCCTTCTTCCTCTGCCTTTAGCTCCACTTTCATCCATCATATATATTTAGTCTGCAACAAACAAGGAGGCGTAAAGCAGGATGAAGTTTGACCCACTGTACAAACTAACTTCATGCTCTGTGTTGGATTCAGTAATTCTGTAACTTTTTTAAATAACTTAAATGACAAAATCCATCCCTCCAGTAAGGAATCAGTACTTCTGTTTTACACTGCAATGGCAGAGATTAAACATGTGGTTTTAGTTGAGGTGAACTTTTTAGGGAGTATCGTATATACAAAAGAACGAAAATGCATGAAAATCAGTTTTGTTGCTGATCTTTGAAACGTCCAAGACTCTAATCAGCACCAGCGTCCCACTCCTGTACTATTTATATGGAAAAAAGCAGCTTTCTGTTAGTTTTTTCAATAATTATTTAGTAACTCAAATGTTTAAACTGAGATTTAAAGGGTTTAAATCCTAAAAATAGTTTAATCATTTCAAAAAGGGCTCAAATCTTAATGAACTCTCAGTACCATATTACTCCAAAAGAGCAGACTTAAAGCACACTTTCCTTTTTGCTGACACAGTTAGGGCTGGATCAGGTGACCCCGAATCCTCCCTTAGTGTCGCTGCAATAGGCTGCTGCTTCCCATGATGTGCGTTTCTTCACTATCAGTGAATCAGAAATCAGATCTTTGCAGTATTATTACGGCCACTTCTACACCAAAGCTTGTGTGGATATCTTCACAGTATTTAATTTAAAAATGCATGACTAACTACACAGAAAACAAGTGAATTTAAAATAAAAAAGGTCCAACATTTGTTCAATGTGACAGAAATGTACCCTTCGCCCAATCTGGGCCTCAATTACAATCCTGTCTTGGAAGTGTACAGGCAACTTCTTAGACTCCTGGACTGGTTTGTGTGTCAGTATAAACTGTCCACTAGGGGACCTCATATAGACAGATGCATACCTTTTCAAATCCTGTCCAATTAACTGAATTTACAACGGTCAACAAAGTTGTAGAAACATGTGACAGATACTGAGTGGAAACAGGATGCTCCTTAGCTCAGGTCTGACTGTGAAAACTATGGAAACCTATGCACATGTAATTAGTTTTTGATTTTTTTAATACATTTTGAAGAATTTTCAAGCCAACATTTTCCCCTTTGTCACTGCGGGGTATGTGTGTAGGGTTTTAGGGTGGAAAAGCACCGTAACATGACAGGATATGGAACTAGCTGTGAATACCTTCTGGATGCACTGTACATACATGTGATCACATACATTTAATACACAGTGAACTCCAAATGAAACAATTGTAGTAAGAACTAAGAACATTATAGTGTAATATGACATAATGTATCAACTTTGCTGCTGTTTGTTCAGGTCTGAGACAAATATGCACTGATGGTAAATGAACAGTTTCTACTTGAGCACTCAAAGTCAATATAGCATGCCTCAGTCATCTATTCACATCCGCTCATGCAAGACCTTCTAAGCCTAAGTGCTTTCTATCTAACAATGACACATTCATATTCTGATGAGTGCATCAGAGAGCAACTCTGGGTTTTGTATCTTGCCTGAGGATACTTCAGCGTGCAGACTGGAGATCAGCCAGGGATCAAACCAGCCAACCATAGACCATCTGCTCTGCCTCCTGAGCTGCAGCTATCCCAGTTAGTGCTAAACATATCTATAGACTATAGATCTGAGTGATGTGCTATGAAGCAAGATTAAGGGTTAGTGAGCTATGTTGGGCTTAAACACAGAGGTTTGCATGATGACAGTGGCTGTCTTTGTAAACTCCGTGGTTTAGAGTTTCAGATTAAAATGAGTTAGTACCACGTTTCACTGATTCTTAAAAGGATTCTTTCAAATGATTCTTTGCTGGGAGAATAAATTTTATATGTTAAGTTGTATGTCTCAGGTGGTGATGCAGAAAATATATAAATGTTTTTATACTTTAAAGGTTGATTCTGTTCATCTGGATGTTTTCAGTGAGAGAACATAATCAACCTTCTGAGATTTACGTGTCTCCTTTACACTGCCTGAACTGCTCCTATAGCCTTTATTACGCTATCGATCCAGTTTGAAGTTTCTGCTTTAGAGCGCACTCAGGGGTAAAATAAATATATTATCTCAATTAAAAAGGTTTACTTTGTGCTAAATCACTGTATTAAAGATGTTTGCAGCATTAACTTTGGTCCTATTTGCAACAATATTACATTTTAGTTATATTTTTGAAGTTTTTTAAAGATTCTTCTCTGATAACATCTCCTAATTAGTATGTTGCAGTCACAGGGATGAAAAGACATATGACACATGAGATGCACATTTTTATGTGAGGAAACATAAGTTGACAACCACCGTCATGATACCCATCGTGTCTGATGGGGCTTTGCGTTCCCTCAAGCTAACACAAGGAAAGTTGTGTCAGCTGTGTTGGACTCCATAGCATGCCCCTGTGGGCGCTGCTGGCTACACATTCTCAGTGGAAGTGTTGGGCATGTGGTCAGACGAGGCCGATTCTTCAAACACATCATCCTCCATGCCTTCTTCTATAGGATTCATTTTTGAGGATGCTTTGGTGCCGGGTGAAATCTCTAGAAAAACACAAAATGAAAAAAATATGGAACATTGTGGCTAAACAATCTGAAGTGTGAGCATATGCAGCACTCTGCATGTAATCATTAGTTATTATTAATCTCTCTTCCACAGGGTGTCTTTGTCCTGTATCATCCACTGCAGCTGGGCGCCCCTCCTTGGCCGTTACAATATAAAGTGCCCTGAGGCAACTGTGTTGTGTTTTGGTGTTATAGGACAAAAGTGAATGAAATGAATTCTCTGCTGGCTCCACCATGCAGTTTACCTGTCAGATGACATTTTCTGCATAAGATAGCAGTGAAGGAACACATCTTATTCCCTTGCGTTGCTTCCAGCCAGCAGCATAATATTTGCTACTTAATGTCATCCTACAATCCTACCATGCATCCTTCCCCCCTTCTCATCTTTATGCATTCATGCTGCACAGATCAATTACATTAAGCGTGTGTACAGCATTTAGCTAGCACTACAGAAGAACTGTTTTAACATCACATACAGCGAGTAAACATTTCACCAATGTTTGAAGAAATATATTTCTAAAGGTGTTATTGACATAAAATTCACCAGATGTCGGTAATAACCATCCCAAGTGGGACCTCAGATACTGTCCCTCCCTCCATCCAACCGCACACTTCTTCAGGTTGGCTGTGAGCCCCGCCTGCCTCAGGAACCTCTCTGATGCACAGGTGTGCTACAAGGAACGTCAGAATTTCACTCTTACCCGGGCTTGGACCTTCCTCACGGTGTTCTTTAAGGTCCAACAGCCCCTGCAGCTTCCTGCTAAACAGCAACTCATGGATGCTTAGGGCACCTCCCGAAGTGCCAACAACACAGGGTCCAGCCAGCGATCGCAACTGCATTCGTCCTCATGACGGAACTTATGAAAGCGATACCCTGTGCACTGAAATGCCATGATGCCATGATGGGGTCCATGCCAGTGTGCTCGAACAGGACCCCCACTAATGGCCCAAACTAGCACACAATCTGCCCTACCAGTAGAATCAGCAGTGTTAGACGACTTTGCATCACCACTGAGCGCAGCACAAACATCACATGTCCCTACACGTTGTGAGCGCACCTCTTCACACTGCCCCATTAACTTGTCAAACCACTATGTATATGTATACGTTATTTCCACTGGCACCGTGGGATCTTTGTGACTATCCCCATGCACACACTTAATTTCCATCCGCTCTGCGTCCAACAACGTCTCGAGTCAAACCAGTGTTTCGTGGACCAGGATCTGCATGGTGCCCAAGGTGGCCATAGCCTCCGCTTGAATCCACTGCACCAGCCCTCTGCAGCTGAGCCAGCATTTCAGAGTTCATGACTATTTGCACCTCACTGTGTTCATGTGTCGTTTCTCACTGTTAAACACATTTTAATTTTCACGTGTGGATTGAATGGATTGTTACCAACATCTGGTGAGGATTTCATCTCAGCAGCACCTTTAGAAATATAAATGTGTGCGTGTGAACAGAAGCCTGCGAGGAGGCAACATGCAGAAGTCCAAAGATAAACCTCAACATCACTGAACATTTATGGAGGAAGTGAGGGAGCCCCACTCGTTTGAGCTGCTGGGAACACTGGCAGAGCTGTGGGTCGCTGCTGTAGCACGTGCTGCAGTGACAGAGTAAATATCCCATTAAGACTCACGGAGTGATGATCCAGCAGATCCACCTCGTAGGATCTGGTTGAGAACATCGTCGGTGTCACTGCTGCTCGCCATGCTGTTTCTCACCTGCGTCATAGACAGCTGGGAGCACAGGCTGGGCTGTCGGTCCATTTTCTTCACAGCCTAGAACATATCCATGACCAACATCCTCGTCAGCACAGTGAGCACTCTTACAGCTGTCACATTACATTAAACAAGATGCTCCAATAAATCGACACCAGCGGGACTCACCTTGTCGCTGAGTGTGGCATCATTCAGAGAGTACAGTTTGTTGGTGATATCTTTGCCGATGAGGAACCTGAAAACCTCATTAAGGAAAGTGTCTGACTCCAGGAAATAGGTAAGTCTCTCTCGCGACCAACACAGGAACTTGCAGTTCTCTTCTGCCATGATGGTCACCTGTCAATCAGACACATTAACAAGTGTTAAGGTGTCCACAGGTAGGGATACATATTTTTATATGCTTCGTTTCACGGTTTTCTTGGGCCTGATTGTTCTCGTCGTCTATCTACAGATTGACTGAGACACTGTGCCGTCTCTGCGCGTCTATAGATGAACAGAAGTCTGTAAGGAGATGAGTAAGGGAACGTTCAGAGACCTCAGAGGATTTAAAGTTAACATTAGTTCAGATTGCTTACATGAAGTGTAGTTAAGGAAAAAAGAAGACGGGAAAGTCAAATGATACCTTTCCACAAGTTTTTGAATTAAGCGCTTTATTTTATGACAACTTTCAAAAGCTTTTTGTTATTTCTGAATGCAAAAGAACATTTATTTTACCATGTTTAGTATTATTATTATTATTAGTAGTAGTACCCTCCAATTCATTGTGAAAATATATATATATAGTATTATTCTGCCTGACATCAAGTTGTTGCCTAGATACAGACATCAATACACTTATTACTATTTTATTACTATTATTAGTACTTCAAAAATATGCTACATTGAATTGCCATGCATGTGAAACTTTATGATGTTCCAGAGCTCTGTTTAAAGAAATTTGACCTCCTTAAATCTTTATTGAATATTCATGTTCTGCATAGTCAGACATGTTTTTACAGCCAGAGAAGGAAATCGGCCCTGCAAACGATGTCCATCCTTTATGTCAGAGCTTCCATGCAAGTGAATTTACCTGAAACTTCTCTCCTCGGTGCATCTCAGTGGACCTGAACTCTGGAGAGTCAATGAATGCGTTGGTATAGATGTTGTGCAGAAAGTGGCCTCGGTATGAAACTTTCATCCTATCACACACAAAAAAAATGAAATTCAAGATTCTGACCAACTAAATCAGAAAAGCACGGTGTTAAAATAATAACCTTAATCGTGTGTATTAGTCAGACCTATGTGACTTTCATTAGGGAAACAAACAGCACATACTTTCCTTTGAGCAGAATGCTGAGGCGTTCGTCTACAGACGTCTTGTCCTCAGCAGCGTAGGCCTGGC